CTCTACCCCAAAGCAGTCAGCATACAGCTAGTTTAAGCTCTAGACAATGCAGCAAAATTTTTGTCGGAATACGAAACATTGGAGTGATATTTTGCTCCATTGGAACAACGTTAGCCACTCTCTCTGTCGGTAGTTCCTTTGCCACCATCGGCGGCTATTCCTACAAGGCACATTCTGCGAGTATATTTCTTGGTTCTAACAAATCGCCGAAAGAGAGTAGGTGTTAGCAAATATTTCCAAATTCGAAACTTTTGGAGGTATTTTGTCAGCTCTAAATGATTGGCTGCTGTGTCATGTAAAAAAGACGAAAATTTTCTTATCCACATTGCTGGCGATTCATCTAGGTGCATTCCTTTCATAAAACTGGCAAATGCGTTATCATTGACGATCAAGGCCACTAGGCTGCCATAAAGTTCACCAATTTTACCGATTATACTTTTGGTTCTGGTATTCGGTGAACACCTAAACGCAGCAGCGGAAATCAAATGAGGAAAACTTATTCAAAGCACCACATTATTAGTTATTGTCTTTTAAGTTCAAGGTCTTCATAGTAGCTTTCTACACAATTTGTGCCTCTTCACTTGGAACTGACGTTTGCTTTCCTTCTCACTAGTGGTAGACCGAGCACGAAAGCATGGCATGGAGAAGTTTGTGAGCATGGAGCCTTGGCGCAGGTCGCATGCGGAGCTCTTTGCTCTGTTGCAGTCTAGATGTCTGGAGTTTCGCATGCAGGACCAATTTGTCTCCCTTGGATGGTTTTCGCCCTCGCAGATGTTCGTACTGGACGAGTACTGCGCTCGTTACGGAGTGCGTGGGTGCCACCGACACCTCTGCTACTTGGCTGACCTTCTTGACCGAGCCGAGCACGGCGTCATGGTAGACCCTGCGTTGGTTCACTATTCCTATGCGTTCTGCTCCAGACATATCCTCGGCAATACGTACGTTCATTCCTCTTTTACCCCTTTGGATTCTCATCTCTAACCAAGTGCCTGAAGTTTAAATCTAGTCACACATTTGTTTTCTGGACTTCGTTATATCGCCTCGAATTCGTGACTCTCCCCTCGCTTTAAAATCGCAAAAGCGTGGCTCACTTTTCTGTCGGTTCCTCCTTACCCATCCGTAATCCC